AGATGTTTAAGGACAGACATTAGGAATCACGAGTCTTTCCAGTTGCTGGCTCAAACAAAGCTAATGCAGTAATCTCAGTTTGTTGTGTTAGTCCATTGCTAAAGCAAAGATAGCATCTTTCAAACAAGGGATTAATATAATGCACCAAAAAGAACAAAGGAGTGTTGTTATAGTGGGAGCAGTTAATATAAATTTCAAAGAGATGTTTAAGGACAGACATTAGGAATCACGAGTCTTTCCAGTTGCTGGCTCAAACAAAGCTAATGCAGTAATCTCAGTTTGTTGTGTTAGTCCATTGCTAAAGCAAAGATAGCATCTTTCAAACAAGGGATTAATATAATGCACCAAAAAGAACAAAGGAGTGTTGTTATAGTGGGAGCAGTTAATATAAATTTCAAAGTAAATCATCCTTTTGTCTTTTACTCCTTGAGCTGAAAGAGGTTGAACCTCTCTAGTCTGGCACCCTCAGGATCTGACCAGTGCTGAACCAGAGAATTTGCAGAACCACGGGAGGTCAATATTGTCTAGCAGCATTACCAACACTTTCACTGCTTATGGGGCTCTTAGAAGACATTTAGGTGTAAATTAGAGCTAAATAAGAGCATAGAACACTGAGAGCCAGGACTGGTGGTTGTAAACCAACTTTATGGGCCTGCAGAAACCGGCCACATCCAAGATAAATGGACATCTGGCTAAATAAAATCATGCCGGACCAGAGGGTGCTGGACTAGAGAGGTTCAAGCTGTATTCCATGCTTAGGCTCTTCCTAGAGATGCTTTGGGAGAAGACTCCAATGGAAAATAACCTAGACAATAATAGCAACCTCTAACTTTATTTTTGAGAAAATACATAAATTATAATGTGGAGATATTTCCCCTCATAGAGCTGGAAGGGTCTTTGAGAGGGAGGGTGCAAGGAGGAGTAGGGTTGCCAGGTGTCCGGTTTTGTACTGGACAGTCTGGTATTTGAGGGTTTTGTCCGGGAAACAAATTGAGAAATTACCAGACATATAAAATATCTGGTATTTTCTAATTAAGTAAGTTTTATTGTAATTAGGTGTATCAGTCCTTAGCTGCAAACTGCCTGGCTGGTAGATGCGCTCATGCTGTGTGAGTGTGTCTACCAGCCAGGCAGTTTGCAACTACTCGAGGAAGGGTATGTGAGGGAGGGGGGGACAAAATGGAATCCCCGGGGCTGGACTCACTCATGTGCCTGGGTCTGCATGTGCCCGGGTCAGTTCCACTTCCTGACGGCTTATTCACTGCCCACCTCCTTCTCCTCTCGATCTCCCCTAGCCAGCCCCGCTGTCCCGGTCCAGATCTGCTTCCGGCGGCTAGTTCTCCAG